AATTTTTGTGTGTTTATGTTACGATTCTTATTTACTTCACAATGCCAAAAATGTTATCAAAAATAGTTGTTTCATGTGTGAGTATAATTGTGATTAGCAAAATAAAATTTTGGTCCAGAAATCTTAAAATATAGCATGCAAATTTCAAATTATTGCCCAATTTATTGTTTATTGAAAGAGTGTCAACGCGGTTATATTTCGACTTTAGGCAACATCTTTAGCTCTCTCTAGGCTAACATACAAAATATACAGTAAAGAGGGAAAAAGCTTGACCTGAAAATTTTACAATGATATTTGTAGGGTATCACTGTTATATGTTCAAAGCGGGGTGGAGACTTGTCGACCACTACACATTGTGAATGGCTTCCAACTGTTCCGTCGATGCCTGATGCAATTCACTTTAACTTCATTCCTATCACTTCTCTACTTAGAGGAGTTCCAGGCAAAGGGTTCTTATCACATGCCATCAATCTTTATCTTCGTTGTAAGTAATACTTTATTACCAACATTGAAGCTCCTGTTTGTCACCCATTATTTTGGAAAAATTAAAGATTTTGTATGCAGATAAGCCTTGTAAAGGCATGAGGTGGATCCGTAAAGAACATAATGAGAAGAATACTTGTATAGTCGACCCTGAGTTTACTTCAAATTATAGGATTCAGTTTATTGTTTCAAATTCTTCTATAACTATGTAAATAGAACATGAATAGAATGTGTTTGTTTTGTATGCAGATAAGCCTCCTATATCTGATTTACAGTACTTCCTGGATTTCCAAGCTCACAGGATTTGGGCTCCAATTCACAATGACCTCCCACTGGGCCCAACTAGAAGCAGAACCATGCAAACACCTACTCTACATTTCAATTTGATGGGCCCTAAACTGTATGTAAATACTACTCAGGTAAACACGGTTGATGTTTGCTTGTCAACAAAAAATCACAGTTGAAAAATATGTGTTGTGTGTTGGGAATAAGAAATTAAATGTCTATTCAAATTGCAATTTCAACTGGGTTTATGACTAAATGTAACTGAATTCTGATCAGGTCACAGTTGGAAAAAGACCGGTTACTGGTATGCGATTGTACCTTGAGGGCAAGAAATCCAACAGGTATTACACTATTTTGATGCAAATTTTTAATATTTTCCTAGTCGTTAGTGTGCATATCATTCATGATATGTAGCCAGGAACCCTGGAAAATGCATCTACAGCACAATGAACTATACTTTAACTTCTTTTTCTACTTTTGATACTGCCTTTTGTCCAATTCATCTTGCTAAACACGAGATAAATGCAACTCAACGATCATTTTAATCTGGGAATTTTCTTAACTAAAAGGCAAAACTTAACAGGTTAGCAATACACCTCCAGCACTTACTGAACTCTCCAGTTCTGCTCCAAGACAAGCTAAGTGATGCTCTAACTTGGCGTGGATCAGAAGAAATATCGGATGATCGTTACATTGAAGCTATTCAGTGGAAAAAGTTTTCACACGTATGCACAGTCCCCATAAAATACGATCCAAGATGGGCAACTGGTGAAGACAATGCTGCGTTCATCGTCACTGGTGCTCAACTTTACGTAAAGAAGCATGACACAAAGAGTGTTTTGCATCTGAGGCTCTTATACTCTAAAGTATCAGATTTCTTTGTTGTGCAATCTAACTGGATGCAGTGGGCATCAGAACATAATTCCATAAAGTCTGGCTTCTTTTCATCTATAAGTACTTCAATAACAGGAAACGTAGAGAAGGAGAAGGCACAACCAGTCATCGTGGATTCCGGGGTGTATCCAACAGGGCCACCAGTGCCCGTGCAAACGCAGAAGCTCTTGAAATTTGTGGATACATCACAAATGTGTAGAGGGCCACTGGACAATCCCGGACATTGGTTAGTGACTGGCGCAAAACTAGACTTGGAAAAGGGAAAAGTATGCCTGCGCGTAAAATTCTCCTTATTGAACATATGTTCACGATAAAGAAGACATTGAATTAGGAAAGATATTGCCAGAAAATCGACTCACCAGAAGAGATGTTCGAGTTGAAATTGATCACTATATTTAAAATGTTTTTAACAGATTAGTCCTGTGAGTTCAGGGGATACTCTCCAATATATGTTAAATGTTTTCTGTAAATAGGAGGAAATATTGTCCAGTATGAATTCCATATCCTTGATTCTTTATTTATTTGGTTTCATTTTATTAGCTACTGCAGAGCCTCAATAATTAAAATGGATGAGTTTTGCTCCCACTGCACATTGATTAGAATCAGTTACGTGGAACGGGAAGTTATAGGTTTGAAAATTCAGTTCATTCTAAATTGAGTAGATGAATAGGCTGGAAATTGATTTTATTGTAGAAATATGGTTATTTTTAGAAAACTGTAAGATTTCAAAGGGCTGGCAGTAGTATTTTTTTGTTATCTTTTAGGAGTTTAGTTTAGCATTTACCTTTTTTTGTGCGGATATAATCATTTTCTTTTCTCTTCGATCTTGTATGAAAGCAAGTGATGCACAAATATACAATTGTAAGGGGTAAATGCACGGTATTAGATATCGGATCATAATGGAATGGTGACGTTATTCCACAAACTAGCTCAAATGCATGAACATACTCTATTTTAATGTCTTGATCAGACCATTAGGCATGATATTTTTAAAATATTAATTTAAAGGGGAAAAAAATCATGTCTACTATACTTTAAGGTTATATTTTCAAAAATATCAAAGTTTGAGAAAGTTTTTAGAATTCAGGTCATATTTCAAGATTTTATTATAATTGATATATATTTGCTTAAGATTATGATCTTAACTGGCAGTTATTTGAGGATAATTGACTTCGCTCTCATCATAATCATTCCCAAAGATAGCTAAGCAGTTACTGTGTCCACAATTTTATCTGTTCTAAAAATAAGGAAAAAGAAAATATCATGCTTTCATAGATTCAAATTCCTCCACATATTCTCAAGTCACAATCATCATTCTACATGTCACAATAGAAAATTGTTTGTCTTCTTCCATGGATAATCAACAATCTGCATAGGCATTTGAAACTCTACTTCTAATGTCTGGGAGGGATTTTTCCAAGCTTTTAAGCCATTTTATGACCGTTGACAATTCAGAAGTGGATCACATTGTAGCCGTTGCTTTTGACTACCTTTCCAATAAATTATAACAATTATCAAATATGCCCTTTAAGAATAGTCAAATATGATGACCGTAAGAAATGTATCTAAGTAATTCAAAGTAATAAAAAGGGTAATATAGACTTTTATCATTTTTAGATAATAATTTCAAATAATGGAAGTATATAACTGACAGCAATGGAACCCACTTCTGAGTTGCCAACGGTCATAAAATGACTTCAAATCTTGAGTAAATCCCTCCCGAACAGGCGTATTGTATTTATGTTACTAAATTCATGCGGCATGCTGTATTGTGATTTAAATTGTGAAATACAACAATTACGATATTTGTAGTTTTCATATGATTACATGTGTGACGTATACAATATTTTGATACTATTTTGCTAAACATTTTGAGAAAAATCATTTAAAAATATTTTAATCAACAATAGTGAACACTGATTTCCCATTCATTTACCGTTTCATTCACTTTCAGCAAAATGTATCTTAAGCACAGTTATCAAATTTGAGCTGGTCATCAATCCAGCCAAAGCACTGAATTCATGGATTCGTAGTTCAATCGATGAATCATTACTAAGTCAAAAAAATTTTAAATATTTTTTTTATTTAAAAAGCATAAATATAAATCTAATGTGTATTCTAATTTAAAATTTCTTTTATTAAATTGAAATATTATAAATTCTTAAATTTTGGTACTGTATTTCGAAAAAAAAAAAAAGAGGCCATTTTTCAGAAAAGAAACTGACCATTTTGGATGGGACAAAAACGTGGTTCCATTGCTCATCAATACAAAGGTAGTTTAGCCCATATAATACCGTGACTAACTTCAGCATTCGTAACATAACATGTTCATGACTCTGTATGCCTTTCCTGGAATTTATTGTTAGTTTTTTTTTCCCATTTAATTTGTCTACTTTTTCAAATTTATAAACAATAGCGATATGACGTAAGAAATGAAGAACACATTCACAGACTCTTTAATTCTACGAATATCAAGTAATCGAGTATCAGAGGCCAGTAATGTAAGCACACTAAATGCAAGCATATTTATATTTCAACACAAAACACATTATAGTTCATACCAAACAAGTCTCTTTGCAATCAAGTTACAGTTTATAGTTAATATCAAATGCTTATATTACATCAACTGGTGTTTAGGTGAAACTCAAACCTCGACGGAAGTTCCTTTCAAGTGAAGACATTTCAAGAGACCTTCTTAGGCTGGACTTGTCCTTCTTGATCTGGACCAGCTTGTCGTAAACACACCACGGGAAACTGATATAATGATCCCGATTCAATCCCTCGTTGTAGCTACCCCAATATTTAGGATGATATGTGACATGATACCAAGCCGATGCTTTTGCATCCATATCGTCCGATTCACTTCCTTTTTTGAACATTTTCCGAGCTTCGCTCCTCAATGACCTCACAGCTGCACCAATGGCATCTGCATCTCGTCTTCGATCAAAAGTCTTTGACATTTTCATAATACCCCCACTCAGTATTTCAGCCTCAGTTTTTATGCCGTAGTATTCCATCAGATTACCCAACTTGTAATCATACTCAGTTTTGCAATAAAATGCTTCGTCAACGTAATCTTCAAATCCATCTACTTCCATGTCAGGATCATACGACTTCCTAGCCACTTCACGGGTAAAAGATTTGATAGAAGCCGTGTGGGGGGCGATGTCTTTCACATCCCTAAACAGCTTTCCTATCACACATCTCGATTCGTAGGTTGTCTTGTCGGGCTTATCCATGAAATCCGGGTATTCTTTCACCCGTAAATGAGGCGGTATTACAGCAGGAACACCAGTTTTTGGAAAGTCGACAGCAATGGAGAACAGCTTTGCCAACTCTATACAAGGTTCACTCAACGCCTTACATGGTTCTTTATCAGCAAAGACTGTGTGGGCATTTGCAATGATTCCTAAACTGTCGTTCACAATATAGTTGGTGAAGTACTCCTCCACTTCCTGTACCACAGGTAAAATAAAAACTACGTGCTAAGTACTGTAGAAAACACGTAATCATTAGATTAGCAAACATTAATTTTCAATAATACTGCGCAATGAGAACAAAATGAAGAGTTTTAAATCATGTGAAAGCTCGAAGAATTTTCGTTTATTTAATGATGTAGCCATTATTTTTGTCTAGAGCTCTTATTTTTAATTCTTGATTTCCCGTTTTATCAAATCTTCATCTTAGAATTGCACTTCAGCTCGACTTAAAACATGCCGTTCTACAGCTTTCAAGACTTAGCACGACTATGTAGTTCTGTAAGAGTTTCGATCCAATGGAAAAATAACACCAATCAAATAATAGATACCTATATTACTCAAAAAGTTTCATTAAACAAACAGTTTTCTTGACACTTCCAGACATTAATAAAAGTAACTTAGGTTCCCAAGTATTCGCAAACAATATCCAAGACCATCAACGGCAACATAATTGTTGGAATTGGTTCAAAAATAACCGAAATTAACTAATAATTGGTTAAGTGTAAAACTGGAAAGATAAAAAGTTGTGATTTCGTATCAAATTCGACCAAATATTCGAACTTGATCCGATGGTCAAATTACAAAAGTAAATAGACCAACTTATTCTACTCGTCGAGTAAATCGTCATGGTATATTTGAAATCTCGAAACTAATTCCGGATAAATGAGAAATTGCAGTCCAAATTTGTAAGAAATGAAGTGTTGCAACTTTTCGAAATAATGCAGGTTTTGGGCTATACTATTTCATTTGCACCCTTTCTACATCTATAAATAGGACCCTATGGACGTGGTTTTGAGTACACCATTGCATTGAGTATCCATTCTTCTCTTGCAATTCATCTCTCTCACTCTCATAAAATTCCTTTATAGAAGGAAAATTCCATCGAAATTCCGTCGTTCTTGTGGTTTGAAGTGCTGCTACCACGAGTGTGTATTCGTTGTATCTTGAGAGACATTTTTCATTCAACCGTGAGTACTGTAGCAAGGCAATTTGTCTAAAGAAAAGAGTCATACTCGCCTCGAATTTCTTTTTCTACTCCTCTTTATTTCATTTTGGTTTTGTGTGGTCATTTTAATCATATACTTTGTGCCCTTACATTGTGTTCTTATTACTCTCCTGTGGGTTAGAATTTTTGCTTACAATAATAGTGTTTCGTGCACTAATTCATTTTTCTTGTTACTACGCGGAACTTCTATTTATGTAACAGAAATGACTTGAGGCTAATACAAGTCAAACCGGAATGGAAATTTTGCTCCTGCCTAGAGCAAATTATGTGGCTCCTCCAATGGCAATACCAATTCAAATTACGTCAATCCACATGGGGAGAAATCGAAAAAATTCGGTGGCGTAGACTTTAAGAGATGACAACAAAAAATGTTTTATCTCACTATGCTAAATCTAGCTAAGTTTCTTAAGAAAACAGCTCCCGTCGTACAAGAAGGAGAAAATAATCGGGAGTCGATCATTAATTAGGATGCATGGAAGTATTCCGACTTTCTGTGCAAAAACTACATCCTTAATGGATTGGATAACACACTATATGGTGTGTACAGTTCGAAAGATTCGGCAAAGGATCTATGGGATTCATTGGAAAAGAAGTATATGACCGAGGATGCCGGAACCAAAAAGTTCATCGTTGGCAAGTTTTTGAATTACAAAATGGTGGATTCAAAAACAGTGATCAACCAAGTGCAAGAGATCCAAGTCTCATAGCACAACATCCATGTCGAGAAAATGGAACTGAATGAGTCATCCCAAATTGCGGCTATCATCGAAAACTCCCTCCTTTGTGGAGAGATTTCTAAAACTATCTCAAGCATAAACGTAAAGAGATAAACTTGGAAGAGTTGATCGTCCACTTGAGGATTGAGGAAGACAATAGGAAGACCAAGAAGAAGTCTATTGTTCAACTTGAAGCAAACTTTATTAAAACCGAGTCAAAGGTCAACAAGAAGCGAAAGATCTCCGGTGATGCACCACATAGAGATAACTCCAAGAAGGCCAAGAAGTTTAAAGGAAACTGCTATAATTGTGGGAAGGCCGAATATCACTCAAGCAAATGTCGAAAACAAAAGAAGAATGCACAAGTCCACATGGTCGAGAAAGACACCCTATCCGAAGGAATACAAGAGATGAGCCTCTGCTGTTGTGTCCGAGTGCAATATCATTGGCAACACAAGGGAATGGTGGGTTGACACCGGTGCTACCCGCCATGTATGTGCCGATAAGGGAATGTTCTCTAGCTATCAAGAATTGAATAGGGTAGGAAACGCTGCAAGTTCTAAGATCGAAGGACAAGGTGAAATCACTTGAAGATGACATCCAGGAGAGAGCTTGTCCTCAACAACGTCCTACATGTGCAGGACATACGTAAGAATTTAGTATCCGGGCATCTACTTAGTAAAAATAGTTTTAAACTTGTATTTGTGTCCAACAAGTTTGTGTGTTATCCAAGAATGAGATGTATATAGGAAAAAGTTATATATGTGATGGAATGTTCAAGTTGAATGTTCTAACTATTGTACTAAAGCAAGGCGTTTTGAATAAAATTACAAATGTTGTTCACTTACTTGAGTTATCTTGTTTATGATAGGTTGACTAGGACACGTGAATTATAAGTTAATGCGCAAACTTATGAATCAAAGTTTGGGTAATTGACGCAAAACGTCCCTACCTTTCAGCTTAATTGTGGAAAACATCCCCACCTTTCATTTTTTGACATTTTTGCCCTCAAATCTGCGATGAAAGTCCTTCCGTCCAAGTTCCATCCATTTTGTCGTTAATTAAAAAGAGAGAACCAATTTTTTTCCACTCAACAGGGGTAAAACTGTCTCACCAATTGAAAACCCTCATTTTCTTAATTTCCTTCTTCACACTTCACAGCCCGAACGATTCCCATTCCACTCTCTCTCGATTCTTCAAAAATTCCCATTTATCTTCCATTTCAACAATTATTGCTCCATTCTCCTCTCGTATGGTCACATATCAGCAGCCGGCATAGTGGTAGCTCGCGTTGGGAGTTTGTCCAGCGAGCGACGTCCGGTAAGAATCATTACCTGTTGGGTATTTTCGTTTTCCATTTCATATTGTGGTGCTTTGCATGACTGAGTGTATGTGTAGGGTTTTGTTAGTGTTTATTGTTGTTACGCAGGCCTTCAAGGAACAACATGTTTCTTCCATATTTAAGAAACCCCGGCGACGAACGACCCAAATATGGTATGTAGTTCATCCCCTATTTTTTATGTGAACTTCTCTGATTCCAGTGCGCATTCACAAAATTTCGGATTGGAATCCCCCATCAATATCTCCCATTACAGGTTCAGACGCATGGTCTATCCCAGGTTTGAACCCTCTCACTCCACCGGCATACACGAAGAGGCCTGGGAGGCTAAAGAAAAACAGAAGAAAAGAGCCGAATAAGGTGGCTTCTTCAAGTCAGCCGAAGAGGTCCACGCGGTCCAAGAGCAATGCCAATACTTCACAATCAACTTTAGGAACAACGAAAGGTCAACGAAAAAGATCGAGACTAATAATGACATGTTCGAAGTGCGGTGAAACAAGACACAATAGGAGGGCTGCAAAGGGGCACCACCTCCAGCACCTTGTTAGGATGAAGCTGTCTGGCGTCTGCCAAGTTCACTTGTTAATTTTTTGGCTTTTGTTTTTGTTATTTAGTGCACAAATTGTCTGCATGTAGTGGATATAATATAGCACTTTAGGAACCTTTTTTGGTGTTTATGTACTGGGAGAATATAGCAAGTTCAGGACTTATGTTGGTTGCTCAGTAGATATTTTGCACATTTGAAATTAATTGTATCTATTTTTGCTTCAGTTTTCGGTTATTTTTACTTCAGCAGGTAGTGAATATTTTTATTTCAGTTTTCGATTGATTGGTGGATGACTTGTGTCTCAGATTCTGTGATAGAATTATGTATTTAGGGACTTTTGAGTTGTGTGTATCAACAGGTGGTTTATGGAAGAAAACAAGGAATTCTCTCGCCAATTTTTTTCTAAAAGTTAGGGACATTATTCGCAAATATTTCTAAAAAGTAGGGACGTTATTAGCAAATATTTCTAAAAGGTAACGACTTTACTCACCAAACTTTTTATAGGTAGGGATGTTTTAAGCCAAAATTATAACTACGTAGGGATTATTAGCGCAAGGTTCATTCGATTCCCAGAAGAAGTGAACAGGACCTATTCATCTTCACCAATAAGCCAAAATGGGTTATTCACCATTGAACTGATACATAGAACCGATACATCACAGCACCCATTTCCACTTGATCTCCTCAATTTACCCCGTGGTCATAATAAGCATAAACTATAAATAAACATCTAGCATTCATATCTATAAATGAAACACCCATTCAATATATATCTTACTATATTTTTCCAGGAACCCAACATAAAAGCAATAGTGATGGTCGAATTTCACCACTATATAGGCTCTTTAATTAACGACATTTTTTCCCTTATTTAATGTAATAATTTAAAGTATTTTCACACCCATTTTCCAGCTGCAGTTATATATATGGACTATGTAGAAGGCGGGAATAAGGGGTTCAATGGGTGAGACGGTTTTACCCCTGTTGACTGGATAAAAATTGGTTCTCTCTCTTTAATTAATGGCAAAATGGATGGAACTTGGACGGAAAGACCTTCATCGCAACGAAAGGTTGATTTGAGGGCAAAAATGCCAAAAAATGAAAGGTGAGGACGTTTTCCACAATGAAGCTGAAAGGTAGGGACGTTTTGCGCCAATTACCCATCAAAGTTTAATTCTAGCGCTTAAAATTGATCCTAATCACAAATATGAAGTATGTGTTGAAGCAAAAATGGCTAAAACACCGTTTCATTTGATACAACGGAACATGATACCTCTAGAACTAATCCATAGTGATATGCGATTTGAAATTCGTACAAACTAGAGGCGGTAAGAAGTACTTAGTAACTTTTATCGACGATTGTATAAAGTATTATTATGTCTTTCTTTTAAGAAGTAAAGAGAAGCGTTGGATGCTTTCAAATTATACAAGGTTGAAGTTGAAACGCAACTTAACAAACGAACTAAAAATATTCGTAGTGATAGAGGAAGTGAATATGGGGCACCATTTGAAGAATTTTGTTCCGAACATGGAATCATTCATCAAACAACGGCACTCTACTCTCCTCAATCGAATAGCATTGTAGAACGAAAAAATAAAACACTTAAAAAAATGATGAATGCAATGTTGATAAGTTCGGGTTTATCTAAGAACTTGTGGGAGGAAGCCATCTTAACATCAAATCATCTTCTTAATAGGATAACTCATAAGAAAATGGAAGAGACTCCATATGAGTTATGAAAACGTCATCCTCCGTCCTACCAACACTTAAAAGTGTGGGGGTGCTTGGCAAAGGTCGAAGTTCCTAAGCCTAAACAAGTAAAAATCGAATCTAAAACGATTGATTGCATATTTATTGAATACGTCAATAATAGTAGTGCATATCGTTTCTCTTTGTACACAAGTCCAAAATTCAAAACGTACACGAGGGTACAATAATTGAATCAAGGAATATAATATTCTTTGAAAATGTATTTTTGCAAAGACAATGAAATTGAAAGTTCGAATAAGAGAACTTATGAAACTACGAAATGATCTTCAAGTGAAGAAGAACCAAGACGTAGTAAACGGGCCACATCGTTCACATCTTTTGGTCCGGAATTTCTGACCTCCATGGTAGAAAATGACCCGAAAACTTTCGAAGAAGCTATGTCTACTCCGAAAGCACCGCATTTGAAGGAAGCTATCAATAACGAGATAGATTCCATAATGCAAAATTATACGTGGAAGTTGGTTGATTTACCTCCCGGGAATAAGCCTTTGGGATGCAAATGGATATTCAAGAAAAAGTTGAAGCCGGATGAATCCATTGACAAGTATAAGGCTCAGTTGGTTGCCAAAGGGTATAAACAAAAAGAAGAATTTGACTTCTTTGATACCTACTCACCCGGAACTAGAATCATGTCTATAAGGTAACAAATTGCAATTACGGCAATCCATAACCTTGAGATTCATCAAATGGATGTTAAAACGGTATTCCTAAACGGTGAGTTAGAAGAGGAAATATACATGGAGCAACCTAAAAAGTTCGTTTCTCCTAAACAAATGGACAAAGTTTGTAAACTCTTTAAATCCTTATGTGGATTGAAACAAGCTCCGAAACAATAGCACCAAAAGTTTGACAGAACGATGTTATCAAACGGATTCAAAATAAATGAATGTAAAAGTGTGTATACGTGAAAAATACACCAAATGTCTATGTAATAGTATCTTTACGTAGACGAGATGTTGATAACGGGCAATAGTCACGAAGCGCAGCTCAACACCAAGAGAATGTTAATGAAGCACTTCGATATGAAAGACATTGGTGTAGCAGATGTGATTTTAGGAATTAAAATCACTAAAACGTCGAAAGGACTTGCACTTTTCCAATCACATTACATTGAAAAAGTACTTAAGGCTTACGAAGTATTCGAGGAAAGTCCTTCACAAACCCCTATTGACCCAAGTTTGCACTTAGTCAAGAATGAGTGAGAATGCGTATCACGATTAGGGTATTCACAAGTGATAGGCAGTCTAATGTACATTACGAATTATACTCAACCAGAGATTGCTTTTGCGGTGAATAAACTTAGTAGATTCACGAGTAATCCAAACCATGATCATTGGAAGGCTTTGATAAGGATGCTTATGTATTTAAAGCATACCTTAAACCATGGATTACACTTCATGAAATATTCTGCGGTATTGGAAGGATATTGTGATGCAAATTGGATATGTAATATGAAAAATTCCAAGTCCACTAGCGGCTATGTGTTTATCCTAGCTTGAGCTGCTGTCTCATAGAAATCAACAAAGTAAACGTGTCCGAGTTTATTGCTTTGGATAAAGCTGGAGAAAAAGTAGAATGACTTCGTAATTTCCTAGAAGACATTCCATGTTGGCCTAAGACGTTACCTTCAATTAGTATATATTATGATAGTCAATCGACGATTGGAAGGGCAAGAAGTAGTATGTACAATGGTAAGTCTAGACATATACATTGTAGACACAACACCATTAAGCAACTGATCTCAAATAGCATTATCTCCTTAGATTATGTGAAATCAAAGGAGAACGTTGCGGATCCACTTACAAAAGTTTTGCCTAGAGATCAAGTAAGTTGCATATCGAAAAGAATGGGATTAAAACGTACTACGTAAGAGTCTGTGCAATGTCAACTCTACCTTGTTGATTGGAGATCCCAAGATTTTGGTTCAAAGAGACAACTAAGTTGTGAGGATTCCATAAATCAAAATTTTCTAACTCATTCCTATGATACGAAGTGCTTTCTACAGAGTGGTTAAAGGTTAAATTAATCTTTTAATGATTCCTATGTCTTGATTAAAGTTAAGTGGAGTATGGCAGAATACTCTTAATAGGAAGTCATCTATGTAAGTGTGAAGTGGGGCACCTTCAATAAGAATTATTCGAGGTTTGAATTCTTTAAACATTTATGAAATCGAGATGGATCATGAGAAACAAGTACGGAATAAGGAAGACATCTGCATGAGTACCGTTGTCTTGGTTTACACTAAAGGGTGAATGGTTCAAGGCATCACGTTTACCACTTAAACGAGTAAGTCCGATGATATTTTACTACGGGATGTTCAAGGCTAGAAGCTACCATCCCCGATACAGTGGCTTTCCGATCTCCCTCTACAATGCATCACATCATAGAATTACATGTGCATACTCAAATTTCCATTCATGTCGAGGATTGTTGGAATTGGTTCAAAAATAACCGAAATTAACCGAAAATTGGTTAAGTGTAAAACTGGAAAAATGAAAATGTGTGACTTCATATCAACTTCGACCAAATATTCAGACTTGATCCGATGATCAAATTACAAAAGTAAATAGACCAACTTATTCTACTCATCGAGTAGATTGTCGTGGTATATTTGGCCAATTCCGAATGAATGAAAATTACGGTCCAAAATTGGAAGAAATAAAGTATTGCAACTTTTCGAAAATATGCAGGTTTTGGCCCACTACTTCATTTACACCCTTTCTACATCTATAACTAGGACCCCATGGACGTGGTTTTGAACACACCATTGCATTAAGCATCCATTCTTCTCTTGCAATTCATCTTTCTCTCATTCTCATAACATTCCTTTATAGAGGGAAAATTTCATCGAAGTTTCGCCGTTCTTGTGGTTAGAAATGCTGCTACCACAAGTGTGTATTCGTTATATCTTGCAAGACATTTGTCATTCAACCGTGAACACCATAATGAGGCAATTTGTCTTAAGGAAAGAGTTATACTCGCCTCGAATTTCTTTTTCTACTCCTTATTTCAATTTGGTTTTGTGTGGTCGTTTTAGGCATATACTTTGTATCCTTACATTGTGTTATAATTACGCTCCTACAGGATAGAACTTTTGCATACAATAATAGTGTTTCGACTACGCTCCTACAGGTTGAAACTTTGTTCATTTACAACATATACAACCATTATACCGCTAAATTAAATACCCGAAACAACAATAATTTGATTATTATAAATAACCAAAATAGAAACAGCAATATTTCAAATGCTACTACAACACAGAACCACATTGAAATGCCAGTACCTCAATTGTCACATCGTGATCCTGTTGTGCGGGTGGAGCTGGGGTGTAATCCATAGGCAAGCTTTGATTCGGTGGAATCAAGTCAGGGTCCCAACTAACAAAGTAAATGTCTCCATCCAAATCACTTCCGGAACATTCATTCGGATGAGGTCTGTTATTAGGACAACCAAAACCATATGGAATATAATTAAACAGAATATAATGCACAGCAAAAATACCATTTAATTAAATAAGAAATATTAGGTATATTCTAGCAGGGTGAAAAATCTCGAAAAATCAATCCTTGAAAATTGTATTCTGTTAATAAAGTGTTACTAAATTTACCAACTAGCATCTTTAGAAATGATAATTTATTGGACATGAAAGTAATAGAAAGGCTTGTGGACTTATTAAGCATGATTGCAAATGCAATGACAAAGGGCATTTTTAAGAAAATATGCTATATTTGTAATTCTGAAAAGGCTATTTTAGAATAGCAAAATTACCAAGTACTAAAAAATCCACATTGGGATAATGCTGCAACATTTGTTCTACAGATTCAGAGTTATTCTTGACCCATTATTGCCCTGTTGACACAAACTAATATTTACCTGAATGCATAAGCCCTCATAAAGTTCCAGGAGATACGATTAGATTAGAAGCATTCAAGAAGTTAAATTTACCTTCTTCCTTTCTGAGGGAAAACCACACAGTCCACCATGTGATACAACGCTGGCACGTCAACAGCCACTAATTTACGGACATCACCAGGGTGCAAGCACGGATTTTTAGCAACAGCAACCATTCCCTTAACAAGGAAATTATAATCACCTGACGTATCGTCATAGAATCTATGGAAATCCTCATAGAATCTTCTACGCCCAGCACTAGAAAACTGAACGAACACCTGGCCATATTCTAAACTTCCAGTTTCATCTAGGCATCCCATCATTTGTCTAGCTTTTGGAACAAATATTCTTGATTTCACACGCAAGTCCAGTAACTTCGATGCACGAAAAGTTTGTAGCATCATTGAGAGAAATGGTTCGCCATCAGGCTGATAACCACACCTTAGCATTTCCTTGAGAATGTTTGTATTTTCTCCAGGAGACATCAAATCCAAAGCCTCTTCTGCCCTCAATGGATCGACTAAAATAGTATCCAGTTGAGCAACTGCTTCTCTTTGCTTCTTCTCAAAGACACGATCCTCGACTCCAAGAGTGGATAAAAGAGAAATGATCTGGCGATTCAGAAAACAAGGTTGATATTTACTCCATGCCAGAACATCTAATTTTGTGTTTTCTGACTGATACTTCGACATGCTCAGTCTCAAAGACAACTTCCTCCGTGAAGTGGGATCAACAGCCACAACACCTTTGTAGCCACCATACCTGATCTGAAAGGCTGAAGGAAAAGAATTTTTTAGTCCACATTTTATTGCAACCCTCCGAGCAAAATCAACAGATATCTTCCCAATTCCATCAGAAAAAACATAGTTGGTTCCCCCTCTCGCTACCTCTATGTCAGGAATAATTTCAATCTCATCTTCACCAACGCTCAAAGTTTCTGTCGAGGATCCAAAAGATTGGCCAAGTCTGGCAGCATATTTTGCCACATTTCTTATGGAACGAAAATCGCCCATCCACCCACGAATATCATCAGCATTATCATTAACTGTTGAAGCAAACATCCAAACAGAATTATCCCGCAACTGACTTGAGGAAAATGCAAGAAAATCAAATTTCTTATCACCAATAACAATGCCATTTCTAAGCGTAGATAATATCCTTTCAAAAATCTCGGTTCTTCTATTCTCATTTCCAGAAGCTACCTTGGGGGATAAATCAGTAGAATACATTTTCTCCCACTCTTCGTCCACAAAAGAAACACGAAGAAAATTATCAATATCGTTTCTATAATGGCGTAACACACGATTTGACACATTCACTTCTGGACCAGAGAAATAAACTTTGCTGGGTGTTACTTGAACCCTGCGTACATATACCAGTCCATCATCTAAACTAATGGCAGGTGATTTTGGAGGCCGTCTCATCTTGCGGTATTTGTCATACTGCTCCCCCAGCCAGCTCACAGGATTATAGCAGCATTCCTTTAAATTGTAAAGTGTCTCTAGAGCATACTCTATATACCCAATATCTATTCTCCGTGGATCAACCAACCTAAAAAAATTGGCATCTAGGATTGGCCCTGGAAGACATCCATTTTGTACCAAACTGCAAATCTTAAACAATATATTACACGGCAATTCAATTCCTTCAGGAGGACGCAGAATGGGTACTAGGGAAGAATTGTGACAAAAGGGAGAACCAGTCACCAAACTGAATGGACTTTCACGTTCCTTGTAGTAAGCAAAATTATCTGGGAAATTTGGAAGCTTCATGCCATACGGGAGCTGCAGACACACACCAGAAGATTGTCCAATACATGATTGAGTAAAATCTGTAGTTCTGATCCACTGATCATCTGGAGTTTCCTTAAAAAAACTGTAAACAGATTCATTTAGCTTCTTGTAGATACGGGGAGCACCAAATAACTACACACCAAAAGAGAAAAAATATTCGTCAGCAATCATTTCTATCTTACATATAGAAAAATGTGAACACATATAATTGTAGCAGCTTCATAAAAGTATAATAAGAACATTATGGTTCAAAGAGTATGAGAAGATGAATTATGATACCAAAATACAGCCTTTTGTCAGCTGGTAGTGTGGTAACCCCAAAATTATATTAACAAAAAACAGAAGCGAAAATTCTTCAGGATTCAGAGAATCTAGCCATGATGGAATGCTGTGACCACCAAATAGAGGACTGACTTCTCTGCTTGCTCAGAGGAGTAAAATTCAGGTGTCAGGTCAGGATTTATCTTCACTTAGTGATGTTGGATCTTTCTACATGCAAAAATATACTAAAAACTCAAAAGTAACGAAGTGAGTTAAGACTCATGATTTTTAGGGAGGATTCACAGATCAGGGTGTGTGTATCAGGGAACAAAGAAACAATACAGTCTGGGTGACATGATATTAAATTCACAAAACTTCAATATTATAAGATACCTTTATTACCAAATTATGTTAACAGCCTAATAAATAATAATTCTTTTATATCCACAAACTCACTGTGTTCTGCAATGGCTAGTGCCTGAAACTACAAACAAGTAAACCTAAATTTGAAAGAGCAGAGATTCCTAACAGAAAAGAAAGAAAGAAAACCTCATCTAGAAGTAATAATTAATTCAGTTATACCGTATGGTTGCATTTGGTGCACTATATTAGATCGTATAAAGAATTTAGTATATAATTAGATTCAATAGTAGATGGACTGTATAATGATGAATGTGGATTACATTCTTTTATCTTTTAGTCTAAAAGATGTCATGTGCAATATCAACTGTATAACATAATGTGGCAGAGGATGGAGATTGTTTTTGACCGGATAAGATACCTTCTATAAATGGCTTCTTTTTTTACTTTTTCATTTTTTTTTTTTTTTATATAAACAAAACTTTAAAAACAAACCTGTATGAGGAGAACCTTCGCAGTTTGACCTTGTGGACAATATAGCACAATCTGCCATATATTCTCGTACGAGAGCTGAAGCTTGTATTCAACAGAATTTAAGCTGAAAAGGAAGTACATTTTCTTCATACCGCTTCCAAATTTAACTGAAACATTTGTGTTTTTCCATAGCACTGAAAACTTCTCTGCCGATATTTGACATCCAAAATTTAAAGTTACACATTCCATTTCATGCAGGTACGTTCTTGGATTTTGCATGATGTCAATATCCATTTCCCAAGCCTTCAAATAAGATCTACCATAATACAGGCCTTTTTCTGCCAAATAAATAATTTTATCAGCATGAGTGCTATTCTTGAATTGAACTTTGGCATATGCTCTTCGCCCTCCTTTGGACTGCTTTACTTCTAAGGCAACTACATTTCCGTGGCCCGTATGTTGCTCCAAGAATGTCTTGATAGCTTCCGCAGCAACAAGATATGGGAACCCAAATACTTGGATTGTCTTTCCCATATGGCTGAATGGTAACTGCAGTTCAGTCACGAAATAATAATTATCAATGCAATTTATAAACAAACTACAGAAATTAAAATTTCCAACTTTCGTAGTAGGAATGCAGCGTTCAAGCATCCTTGAGGGAAGAAGAATGGAGGGGGGGGGAGAGAGAGAGACGCCTACTTACTGAACCCCAAGAAAACAAGAAACAAATGTGAGGAAATAACAATGAAAATGAGGATCTTTCATGTACTTTGTGGTCCGTGGAAAGCAAATGTAGTATCATTTTTTCCGAACTACTTCAAAAGAAGAGATATGATAAAATAACAGAGAAACCAAACTGTGCAGTTTTATAAAAAGAGGAAATCTAGAAATCCTAGACGATGCAGTCTCCAGGAACTTTGTTTTCACTGGAACTCCGATAAAATACTGATTTACACTTCCTAATTAACACTTCCCTCTCAACTTTTCGAAATTTTAAAAAAAATCCAACGGTTCAACAGAAGATGAGCAAGTAAAAAAAATTTATGAGGGATTTGAATTCTGAGCTAGATGAACATGAAGCAATGAAGCACTTCATGTACATAGCGGTCATTAATTTTGGACCCCTTTTCCAATTGACTGGGAGGACATAGATTTTCTTTCTATTATTATAAAAAATCGAATTCCAAAAACAATCTGGAATCAAACTATAAGAGCGTAGATATTTTTATTAGCACATAACAATTTAATAAACTGATTATCCATGAAACTAGTTGACACAAATAAACTATGGAAGTTCATTATTGATTCCTCAAAACAATAGAAAGATCCTCAGATGTCTACACGAGATGATAAACATTGTAGAAGTATTGAAAGTTAACCAAGAAATCGAGGTTATTACCAATTAGTAGGAAGATAGCATTACACCTTCTGAGTACACAAGTTTTTGAATGACGAGGTCAACTATTTAACACAGATCCAAGCTACTTTTTAAGGATAAGTTTTCTTCTCATCTAGTCCTGTTTTATATTTTTCCTATTTCCTGAATCCTACCATTTGATTGCTTGTAAAAGATAAACAATTCAATGGCTGTGATTTTTGTGGCATTTACCCACCTTATAGTAGCACATTTCACATGAAAAACTATTGCAACAAAAAGAATTCCCCTTCCCTCAACACATTACATGTTGAAATCAAGGCGCACATATCAATAGAACAAACACACACAGTCATATCAACCTTCAAGACTATTACACTTTTATTGTACTTCTAATTTTGTCCTTAAAAGTTTGGATTGCCGAAACATCTAGTTTAAACAATTAGCTGGAAATTAATGTTTTACAGTCCCATGTTTGGTAACACCTTAAAACCCATGAGGTTACAAAAATCATTTCCCGACAAATTTGAATTTAATCCTGTTCCCTTCTCTAAACTAAGGAAATTCCATTGAAGGTGGTAAAGAGGATTTGCACTACTGAGATTTTGAGAATTTAATCCACACAAGTTTTCATTATGTACACACTAATTATATACAATCCGAGAGCATGAATTAAGAAGTACAAAAAATGTAACTGAGTATTTACAGCCTAATATATTGACACAAGGAAATCTGTTGCTGAAATCAAGTTGAGCTCAAAATCAGGCAGCCTGATATAATGACAGAAGGAAATCTGTTGCTGAAATTAAGCTTTGAAATGACAGAGGGAAATCTGTTGCTGAAATTAAGCTTTGATCACATGTGTTCAGCATTTTCCTCGATAGGTGGGGGCTTTGAAAGGATAGTATGGCTCATGCTAGAGCAATCCTACTAATTCTATGATTAATTTCATCAATGTGCTTACTTTAGTAACTTTTGGAGTTATTTAGGGGGTGTCATCAACTGAATTTTTAATGAATTTCAAAAGTCCTCATAAATTTAGGTGTCCCAATTGAGATTTTAATGAATTCTATTAAAACCCATAAAAATTTAGGTGTCCCTAATAATTCTTGGATTTAAATGGGATTTTATTAATAAAGAGATTTTAAGAGATTTGGATGGATTTCTAGTTTAAAACTACATATAACAAACACTTCTGAAATTTCACCATTTTTAACTTGATTCTTATGGATTCTGCCAAAATCTATTCAAATTCACGTGATCCATTAGAATCCCAGTTGATACCCCTTTAATTTTTGGGTTTTCAAAGTAGTTAAAATATTTAAATTTTTATTAGTTCAAAATTCATCTAGCCAAATGAAAATTAAAAACTTCAAATATTGGAATTAAAGAGAAAGCCCATCTTTTTAGTTTTTAAAACAATTGTTTTCCAGGTACAGAAATATCACACAGATGACACTATTTCTTGGACTCCTCTGTCCTCTCTCTCAACACAACACGACCCAGAACGTTAAACACGATAAAACATACAACAAAATCACTAAGAAAAAACAAGAAACAGTTTATAAATTTTTTCATGAAACTCATCAACCTGCATTAACGTGTCAGTAGAACTGATCAAAAAATTCAGATTTGACTGTAACTCTGCCGTGAAAGTGAAACTGTGAAAGAATCTTACCAAGAAAATGAACAGACTTGTAAGAACTGGGAACTAGTTCACCACCACCATCATGATCGCGGGACTTGATTTCATGATGCTCTTTGTTATATATAAAATGTATCTCTTTGTGGTGTGGGGGAGGAGGGAGCGAGGGAGTCAATACAAGTCTTCTTCCTTTTTTCTCTTTAAAATAGAAGATTACTTTTTTTCTTTGTTTTAACTTTTAATTATAGTTGCTTTCAATTTGTTTTTAAATTTTTTTACTAAATATATATATATATATATATATACACGAGAAGATTTTTCCGATTGTCACTTCGTCAATTCTCATTTTAAAAATACGTATTCTAATGACACGATAAATAAATATTTCACATATCATTCTAATTCAGGATGATAGAATATTTAGATCTCATCTCAAATTTTTACTATTTTAATATTATTTTTAATTGAACACATAATTTAATTCTCCCTCACATCTCGAAAATCCTTGACCTCATAGACTCATACTCCATTATCATTTTTATTAGAAATTTTTAGGTTGCCTCTGTTCGATCGGATTCAGATTATCTAAAATAGAAGTTTTTTAAAGCTTTTAGCCCCTGTTTGGCCCCCATTTTTGGTAATGAAAATGGGGGGAATAGTATTTTGTTGAAAAAATAAGTGGTTGAAAAAGAAGGAAAAATTTTCGATTTACGTGTAATATTATTTTATGGAAGATTGTGTGGTTAAAAGTAGGAGAGAGAAAAATAGAATGTAATGTAATGTAATTTAATGGGAATCAAACAAGGGCTTAATGTCATTTTAAAACGTTCATCTTTATCTTTATTTATATACAGAAAAGAATTAAAGATTCCTGTTATGGTAGGTTTGATGACGTATGGAAATTGATTCTATCTTCCAAATATGAAGGAACTGTTAGTCTGAATTTAAAAAAACAAAAAAAAATTATAAATAATTATGTCATTGACTCGAAATTATATTGGTCTTATTCGTATAGGTCTTCGAGTTATGGAAGTCTTTCACATAATTTTGATCGTTTAATTCTTCTTTAAACGATTTTTTGGGAATATTGTAAATTGTAGAATAAATACATTCACATCATAAATTGGTTCTCAACTTTTTTTTTCATCACATTCTTATCTTTATTTTTCAATTAATTAGTACATACTTTTCTTGATGATACAGAAAAATATTTTATTACATCAATTCAAGAAAAATAATGTTATTTGTAAGCATTATTGATAGAAAATAGTCAATGCGATAATGAGTCACTATCATATTTTTCAATGAATAAAAAAAATGCATCACAATTAGAAAATATACCAATGGCCAAATCGTCGATTTTTTCCGATACCTGTACTTAGAAATAGTTTTACTCATTCTTGAATGAGTGATGCTATTTACCTCAAGTGACGACGATAACTATGATATGACATTAAATAATACAATTTTTATAATTTTATGGTACATCACATTTCAAATAAATTGATGATCGTTTATAATGGTTATAGATAGCATTATTTTTCAAGAACTGAAATGGTTCAATGAATCATTGTATGTATTCCTTAATTATAGATTATGGGAAAATCATGACATTAAGATTTTGGGGATTAAAAATGTATGCATAATTGTTCGTCTATTTTGTTGATCATATAGCTTCGTTAAAAGTAAATTGCAATTTCCATGAAACCTCCATTAGAGCATTCCGAGAAGCCCAAAAATTGTGTTTTTATAAAAACAACTTTTAAAGCTATTTTTTGGTCAAAATAATTTTTATTTTAACTAAATAATTAATATTTGAAATAAAAGCACATTTTGACTTTTCAGAGAGTACTTTCAAACTTTGAAAGCCCTTCCAAACACACTCTAAGTGGCATAATTAGCCACCCGTTTGGCTCTCGTTATTTGAAATTTTAATGGTTGTAATAGTATTTGTTTAATAATATGTGGTTAAAAAGGAAAAAAAAAAGTTTTAGGATTACATGTAATCACTGTTCTAAAAGGAGCGCAAGCATCACCAATGCATGATGTGTGGGGAAAACGTCAAGTTAAGTAGCTTGACGTCTTATTTAGAGATCAACAACAATCATTTACAGCTAATGCGTGCATAATTATCTTTTTTTAAATTTATTAATTTATTTATTTATTTTACAATTCTTCTAAGTTAAAACAAAGAGTTTTAGTTCTTCACTTCGTCGATTCTAAATTTAAAATAGTTGCTTGAAGCCTTGAACAAAGAAAATCCCCCCCAAAAATTCATATTTATTTACTATTTAATATTTACATTTAGAACTTATCTTTTTATTGAAAAATTTGAAAAAAATGTATAAATTTTCTATAAATTTGTTTTAGCGGTTTGACGTGTATTATTTTTTATTATTAAATGATATTTCGATAAATTAAAATAATATTAAAATAAGAAAACTCCTTTTTACATTTTTTTACGCCCATGTCTCACCTAACCCATAACTTGACTTCCACACATTGTCATGTATTACACCTTTTAGAATGCTGCGTGTAATATTATTTTGAGAACGTATGATTGATAAGAAGAAAGAAAAAAATGAATTATAATTTTAATAGGGTCCAAATTGGGGCTTTGTCCAATTGTACTAACACCAACTAATAGCATGACCAAGATTGAAACAAAAAACATGGGCAAACCAGTTTAGACTTCGATTAATGTTGGGTGACCTCCATTAAAATTTACCTTAAAAGAGAAAGAAAAAATAATAAAAAGTGGGCCAACGTTGTACTATTATTAATCATTGTCATCTTATACTTGACGAAGTCTTCGCACAAATTTACGAAAGAAAAAAGTTAAAAGCCTACAAAAGGCTATTCATTCCCAGCCAATAGGATCTACTTCTCACTTACATTATTGAAGTCAAAAGCTAGATGATAATTTTTCTCAATGACTTCGTACGATTTTATTTGCTTAGCTTTTAAGTAAACTAATTTTAACTCATTATTTATATTATTGCTATATTAAATTTTAATTGTACCCCTAGATATCAAGGCCTAACTCAAATGGATCATGCTAAATGTATTTAATTTTTTTTACATTATGCTTTACAGACACTCACAGTAAGGGTGTAGGGACCACATGTTTGGATTATTTTACTCATGCAGGCTCCACGTGCTTGTGAGCAGGGACGGACCCAAACCGTTCGAACTGTGGGGTCAAAAAAAATTTTCGAACAACGTATCATAAACAAAAAGGAAAAATCGATTGTTTGTTGTTCATGTTCAATATTTGCACTTTGGAAAGTAATCGATGGATTATATGATATATTTATTGACTAAATAATGGATATGGACCATATGATATGGATATAGATTTAGTATTTCGACTTTTTGGAGCAAAAAATTAAGTTTTCAGTAAAAAAAAAATTCAGAAAACTGTGGGGTCATTTGACCCCATATGGGTCCACCCCTGCTTGTGAGAGTAAATAAACCATTTGGGTAAATCAAATTATGTACACATAGAATTATCCAACTCAATTACTACGAAAATAAAAAATAAATGACATGAACTTGAGTCTCATTGGGAAGACGATGAAAATAAAAAATTAAAAAAAGGGTACCTTGTAAATTTATTCATCCCTTTGATTCCATATGTCCGGAAAAGATTAGACCAAAAGAATCATATATGAATTGTGGTATGTTATATACGACAAACTCCTCGAAATCATATCCAATCAACGTGCTTTTTTGCTACCAATAGTTGATATGGTCACATTAGGACAACATTATCCTCTCCTAAATGTATTGGAAGTACCATTCAAAACCTTAGTCTTCAAGAAATAGAGTAGTGGTGTTTGAATACAGTGATACTTAGTGCTTGTTTATGTGACACAAAGGTCCATAACGATAAACTAGTTAAAATAAAAAAAAATTACAGTTTTTAACCAGTTTTCAATGCAATAAATCCCAATGTCACTTCGAATGTGTTTAATGCTACTAGAGCTAGAAAATAGTTCTTAAAAATAATGCAGATAGAGCGTCAGCATATTATTTTGCAGTTACGATTCTAAGTCTCTTCTTCTTGTAACACAATTTTATCCTCATCTTTATTTGAGCATTGAAATGTTATTAAAAATACAATTTACTTTAACTAAACGAACAAGAAAACATAACCCAACTCCCTTATCCCAATTGATTAAGCATTGTGGTAAGATTCGAAGATCATTACCTCCTCCCCAACCCTACCCCCAAAAAAAAAAATTTATGACTTAACTGGGAGACCTTTTTTGCTTTTTGCTTTCAATTTGTTTTTAAATTTTTTACAAATATGAAATGATTTTTTCTGTTAGAAAATATATCACAACTTCAAAATGTAACGGTGTCCACATTACCACATGTTCAATACTGCTTATAAATAGTGTTATTAAAAAATCAGTAATGCTATTTACTTTCAATTGCAATAATCATCACGTGACGTGTCATCAAATGATATGTCTCATCAAATGATATGACAAATAAAGTAAAACTTATATTCATACATTTTAATTGAGCTTATAATTTCATGACACATCACATCTCACATACATTAATAATAATATCCGATGAGGATAAATAAAATATTCTTCAAAAATTGCAATGATGCAATTTGTTGAGACATAAAATCCCAAATCATTAAAAAAAAAAAATTTATAAAGGCTTGAATTACTCCTCTTGATAAGCTTTACCTTTTAGATTGAACCCAATTTTTAACATAATGAACCATTTACGTCTTCCTTAATTTTAGATTATGCTAAAATCATGAAAGTTTTGGGAATCATAAATTTATGCCCAGTTGTCTGCGTATGAATTAATTACACGTGTCAATAACTAATGTGATAACAAATGTAAATAAATCGAGTGAGTGAAAACTAAGTTGAGATATGTATTTCATAAATTTTAGCTCTAATCATGAATCTTAAATTGGCTTAAAAGAGGGGGAAAAAATTCAAAATGTTGCAAATATTTATTTCAATTAAAGGGAAAGAAAATGCGGAAATTTTAGTTATGGAAAAAGATAATTTGCTAATTTCTCAAATATTCGGGTGATTAAGTAGAATATATAAAGTATAATATGAAAATTAAATTATAACTGTCACCATTCACTTTAGAGTTTTGCTATGGAAACAGGGTCTGTGACTGGGAGCCGAGGTGTTGTCACTTGAGCCTGTCAAATGCCCCGTTAGAATAGCAAAACTTTTCACTTTATTGGTTTAGAACTTGGGCTCCAAGAATTGAAGCAGCAATATTTTTCAGAAGAGATGGTAAATTTCATTCCAGGTTACGCTAGTCGAGCAAAGTGTCAATTTGGTTGCCCAACTTTGAAAAGTCTTGATCATTTCAAAAAACTTCCTAAGTTTTCCAACTCATTTCACTCCGTTAGTTGATGATGCTAAAACTAACGGGACTTGTATGAGTGGAAGTTAAAACGTGACGAAAATTCGATGTGAATGAGTTACTAGAATTAGACATGCACAATTTCAATTTAAGGGTTAATATGACATATATGAGACTATGGGGAAGAGACTAATGTTGTAGATGAAGACATGGAGTCGATGATGGCATTGAAATGAGGGGATCCTAGCCTTCCAAGCTAACGATGCGGGTTCGATTTACGCTACCTGCTTATATCCTTTTTCTAAATATTTGATTGTTATAGTAGAATGACAGAAGAAATTTCACTAAAAACCCATTGACAGTTGGTTCTAAATTCAAAATGTATTTTTGTATAAACTTCAAATTTACTTAATTGGGTTAAAAGTCATAAATTTTTTCTTATATTAATGCGTATTTTATTGATTTCAAAGCTTCATGTTAACTATTAATTACAATTTCCCATAAAACCTTGATTAGAACTCTATAGAGAAGCTGAAAATTTTGTTGGATAGCTCAAATTCGATTGGATTTTTTTGGAAAAATATTGTTTCTTTTATTTCAAGTGCTTTTATTGGAAAAAAATATTGTTTCCTTTATATCATGCGTTTTTATTGAAAAAATTATTTTTTTTTCTTTTATTGCACGAGATTTTTTTTATCTTTTTTTCATCTTTGCGGTATTTTCGTGTTTGGCATGCATCCCTATAAATACTATACTCTTTTCACAAATTTTGTATCACTAAAATATAGAATAATTGTGTGAGTACAATTATTGTGTTTGTTTGCCCCATATTATTAGTCAATTGAATTTAATACTTTTTTCTTCAGCCAATTAGTTCTTTGCATTTTAATTGATGTTTGTTTGTAATCATGTACTTCATATCGTATCATACATATTATCTCGATCAATTTTATTTTTTACCAAGTGGTATCAGAGCTATTGGTTAAGATTTGTTCGAAGTTTTTTGTTATTGATAACAATCAAGAAGTATAAAATTCTGTTATTAGATTGCAATACAAGATTCTTAATGTGACAAGTGAAGATACGAGATATACTTGTGCAATGGATTTGGATGATTCGTTGTTGGAATTTGACAAAATGCCCACAACTTGGATGATGAAGAAGAATCAACAAAATGATTGGAGGCATTGTCACGGATCCATCTTCATCTATCTAACAATATTTTTCAAGATATTTAAAAGGAGAAAACGGCAGATACGTTGTGGTTAAAGATGGAGCAATTATGCATGGCTAAAAGTCTAACAAGCAAATTTCATATGAAGCAGAGTTAGTATTCTCATCAGATGGCAGAAAGGCGGATCTTTAGAAGATTATTTGACTATGTTAAAGGAAATTGTCGCTAATTCAGAGACTTTAAAGGTAAAGTACGATAAAAAAGATTTGACCTTAATTGTTTTGGTTCGTTGCTTATTTCATTTACTTCGTTTATATATTGTGCAGTCATGATGCTCTTACAACTGAAGATACATACGATACCTTGTTTTCAAAAAAGAAGATGAATCATCTGATTGGATTTGAGGTCAGAGATAGACAATGCCTTGTTCACAGTGATCGAAGAAGGGGTAACTCGAGATCAAATTTCAATAATCAGGTTTATTATTATTGCAAAAAGAAATGATACGTTAAAAGGAATTGTAACAAATTGTAAAACAAAGGTAATTTGAGTGCAAATCATGGGAAGTAATCAAATATTTCAAACGACGCCAACATAGCCGAGAATTATTTGAGTGATGGAGATGTTTTAATAATTTCTGATATAGAATCCAAACCTGAAGAGGAGTGAATTTTGGATACAACTTGTGCATTCTATATGTCACAATCAAAGTTTGCTTGAAACATAAAAAACGGTGACGTAAGGTATCATTGTCATAGGTAACAACAAAACTTGTCATGTAGCTGGTATTGGTAAAGTCATATTAAAACTGATGGATGGAACATGTAGAACACTTGATCCCCATTCGACATATTCCAGACTTGAAGATGAATCTCATTTCGTTGAACGCTCTTGATTTAAAAGAGTACACATTCTTTGGAGAAGGTAGAGTTTTAAGGACTCGAAAGGGTGTTCATATTTTATTGGAGGGACGAAAGATGTCACAGTTATACATCTTGCAAGCTTGGGTATAATTTGTGATGAAAAATCAGTACAGATTTAGTACCGTGATAGAAATTTAGTTTGGTACTGTACCTTTGGGATTTGGTTCGGGTCCATATTGAAAAATACTATTTAGTTTTGTTTAGAGGATATGGTTAATTTCACTTTACCACCATTACTTGTGGTTTTATCATATTTAGCTGCTAGAAATAAACCAATTAGAGATATGTATGTTGATGCTGATTAGGTTGCACATGCTTTTAGTGTTTTTGAATATGTTAGATTAGCTAGGAGTCTTCTATGAAAATATTAAGAGTTGATTCTATCGTAGAATGTGCTTCGACACTGTTTGGTAATTTATAATTTTTTATGAATTTTGAGGAATTCGCCATTTGGATTCATGTACTCATGTTGGATACTGTGGAAGAGGATGAGTATTTTTATATTGGAGAAAGTTTAGTTCTTGTTGAAGAGTTCGATTTTTTTGTTGCAATCGAATTTATCTTTCTAGGTAGAGAAAATTTGGTGTTTCGTTAGTTGTATCGAAATTTGTGTCAATATGGATATTGTTGGATTTATGACTCAAAATCGAGTGAATTTTTGGGAAAAATATTGTTTCCTTTATTCCACGTACTTTTATTGGAAAAAAAAATATTATTTCCTTTATTCCACACGTTTCTATTGAGAAAATATTATTCCACACGTTTCAATTGTACTAACACCAACAAATAGAGTGGTCCGAATTGAAGCAATTATAAAGTTTCGGGAATTGATTGAGACTTTTCTTAATGTTGGGTGACCTTTACTAAAATCTACCCTAGATCAAGAGAAAGAAACAAAAGAAATGAAAAGAAAGTGATTGTTGTACTATTATTAATCATTGTTATCTTAACCAGGAAGACTTGACGAAGTCTATGCACAAATAATATTATGAAAACAAAAAAGTTAAAGCCCCTAATCTCTCCCAGCCAATAGGTTCAACTTCACTTTGGAAATAATGCAACCTCCACGTTATTCAAGTCAAAAGCTGGTTGATAATAATTTCTCACGATCATTATTTTAGCAAGAAAGAAATCTAGGCCACCCATTTTTATGAAAAAATAAATTTTAAAATAGTAAATTGATGTCGTGGATGAAAAGTTTTTGATTCACGTATAATATTATTTTAATGAAAAATATGTGGTTGAAAAGAAGAAAGAAAAATGAGAATCAAACGGGTTTAAAATTTTACTGCAAGGCCTGACTTAAGAATAAGAGTTAACTTTTACCATATCAGTGAGGTGAACCCGAGTGCCATTTGAAAGATGGTGAAATTTAAGAAAATGAAAATATTTTTAAATTTAGCCATTCCACGTGTAAACTTGATATCAAGAGATAATGAGTTCTTAATTCTTTCATAAATTAAGCAAAAGAACCCGAAACAAATTGTGGTCTCGTAGAAGTAAGAAGTTACTGTCTTCTTGACTATTTCTATAATAATATGTGGGGTTCTATGGTAGCAATGGGAAGTGGGAACAGTGATGTTGCTATCTATCATTGACATGATCACATTGGGATAACATATCCTCTCCTGAATGTATCGAAAGTATCGTTCGGATCCTCGATCTTTAAAAAATTATAGTAGTGTTATTTGAACATGGTTGTACTAAGCGCCAATCAGTGACACTAGGGGTTCGCTATATTCAATTGGTTAAGTAAGAAAGTCATAATTTTTTACCAATTGAATTTAATAAATTCCAATGCCACGTAAATCGATGCTAGTACCATTAGAGCTAAACGACATTATTCAAAGATGGAGCAAGTGGAACATTAACAATCAACATATTAATTGGGCCAGTTGCATTCTCCGATTTTTCTTTTCATAACACGGTTTATCCTCATCTTTAATTAAACATTAAAAATGTATTAAAAAGACAATTTATTTCAATTAAACAAACAAGAAAACACAAACCAATTCCCCTTGACCGAATTGATTAGGGATTGTTGTATTTTTAATTAAAAGATTGAATTATCATTTTCACCAAAAAATTTAAGTTTTTAACAAAAGAAGAGGGTAAAATGGTCAATAGAGGACCCAAATGTTACCAAAATGAAAGGTTGTCACCATCTATCTACCAATTTTTTTGGAACATGTATAGCTCAATAATTCATGCACTGTAACACTGATATTAAAATAAAAATAAATTTAGAAAAATCGTCGGACCAAAGAAACGTTACCATTATTTCCCGAAATTCTCAATGAAAAATACGACGAAAAACCCACAGAAATTCAAGTAACCAAACTGTTTAAACTTCGAAAATTGGAATTGCTTCTCTATTGGAAGAATAATATTATCTTTTAACTTAATGTCATGAAATCTCACCATATATATTTTGAAAAACAAGCCTCAGCCTCACCTACAAACTTATAACAACTTCTCCGCAATCTGAACGGCATTAAGAGCAGCTCCTTTACGTATTTGATCACCGCAAACAAATATGTCCAATCTGCTCGACAAGTAGCCATTTAGTCAAATCAGTACATATTAATAAAGAAATTTCACAAACTAGTGGCATTTTAAGTCAATTATTACCCATAATTCCCGTCCTGAGAGACATCTCGTCGAATTCTTCCCACTGCAACATCATCTTTGTTAGAAACAGCTAATGGGGTGGGGAAGTGATTAGCTGCACGGTCATCGATAACCACCAAACCAGGTGCATTGCTTAGAATCTCTCTTGCTGTGTCCTGATATATTTAGTGCCATCAGTACTTATAGGCATATTATGAAGTTTCAACCATTAACAGATTTTCAGCAACACGTTGCTTGATAAGAATACTAAGGAACAGGGAATCATCAATTAGAAGCACAGTGGATGGTAAACCACTCCCCATTTAGAGAAAAATTAAAGCCTAAGTTTCATGTCATCAAAACCATAAGCATAATACTCATCCGTTATTCAGAACCTCGCACCTCTGTAAACCGAGAAGAAAAAACAACTGTAGGAGAAGTAATGTATGACCCTATTAGATGCACAATCTGAAAAATCTTTGAGCCAAGCAACAACCAAATCAGATTGGAATCAGCCAGCATCTAGGAACTTTACCAAGACACAGTTTAAGGGCACAGTAACTTCAACTGATCTCATATTTGTGGTACATGCTGGAACCCTGATCATAAAATAAGAAGGAATACAAGTGGGAATGGTTTTCCAAATACTAAGCCAAGTCCCAGACAAAAACCTACGGCTATGCAATGGAGTGAAATCAAAGAATCTGTTCTCTTTGAAATTCCAGAAAGCTGAAAGGACTTCTCTTCAGTACAAGTTGTAATGATGTTCAAGAAAACCAAAAGCTATTAGGCAGCTGAGTGAGAGTGAAATCTAAGAATCTGTTCTCTTTGAAATTCCAGAAAGCTGAAAGGACTTCTCTTCAGCACAAGTTGTAATGATGTTCAAGAAAACCAAAAGATATTTGGCAGCTGAGTGACAAGAAGATTGTATCCAGTCATTCTCAAACATTACAGAAAGCCACCAATTTCTCACAAGATCATTCTCCTGTGAATGAACTGCTTATGGAATTTAAAATGCACGACACTTCGTTTCGATTTCAACATTTCAGAAGAGCAATAAAATCAGAGTTCAGACTTAATTCAAAGTGCCTCGTCCATAGATTGACTAAGAAAATTCTTCCTTACTGCCAATGTCAGCCCTAAATACCATAATCACTGTTTGGAGGTCTCCAAACAACCTACCGGTAACACCTTTTAAATCCCTGCCCTTCACCCCCACCAAAAAAACTATCAATTGTCTTTAGATTTAGAGCCTAATTAGATGTCTTTTACATGAAAGCAGCTCTGCAAACTAGGACAGTGGCAACTCACTTGGCTATATTTGAAGTTAGCAACTCGGTTTCAATTAAAAATAGCGGCAACAAAAATGCTGTGACAACTGTAGAATCACAAATAATCAAGTAGACTGTTTTTGCACTCTATTGCAAATGAACTGGCTTTTTTTCCTGGAGCACAAATTATTAATATATCAATACAAATGGAGATGCATAGTGTAAAAGCATGGAAGTTCCGGTTTACCACTTTTTTAATGGAGTAATCGAAATAAACAGACAACATAAGACTTGCAAGGGCCCGATTAACTTCATAATAGAATTGTAAAGAACATATAAAGCAAAGCCCTAGGAAGGGAAACTAATTCCAAAAGACACGACTGCAGCTCCAGCATCCATAACCAAGTCTCAGAAAAAAATGAAAATGACATGATGAAATTTAGATGCTTTTAAGGAGTTACATGTTCTGTTCTCCAAAATATTGATGCTTCTTCTGATCCTATTTGATGCATAGACGCGTAATAATTTACTATTTATATAAAGATATTGACTAGATTCAGAGTACATTAAGTTTCCCTTCTCAGAAGGCATAAACAACTTTTTCCAGTGTCAATTTCTATTGAATCATCTATACATTCAATATTCTGGTTATTCATCTTTAAGGAAGCTTTTGAAAGTTGTACTAGATTATATTTCCAATGGAATTTAAAGTGTAATTGGTAAAACCATTTAAGTAGCCAATAAGTGAATTATTAATAAATAGAAATCACTTAGCTGTAGTCAATCCTGAACTTTGCTCACAACAAAGCTTACTTTCCTCAGTGTTCAGTTACAACTTTGCAAATGTTTCTAGTTGAACTGCTCCAACTCGCTCCCCCCCCCCCCCCAACNCCCCCCCCCCCCCAAGTGCACACACCAGATAGTCGTGCAACATTTCCTAGTCAAAGAGCTATAAGTTTGGTGCTGCCTAATGTGGGGCAAATACGCGTGGGTTAACAACAACAAAAGGCAATGCTCCAGTGTATCCATGGTGCAAATTTGAATTACATCTTGACCATGGAGCTAAATTTTTTTGAAAGTTACTTGAAGCTTCAGTCAACACTGATCAGTAAAATAGCCCTTGAGCTAAGTTTAGCCCCTGTTTTATTTCAAAATTCTTTCTTCTATATACTCATTTTCTACCATACATTCACTTAATAAAATATTCTACACGTCAACCCAAAACTTTTCCATACTTTTTAACAACATATTCTCCAAAAAAATCACTATTCAAAACTCCATTTTACCCAAATAATGGTTGTCAAACAGGGGATAAATACGCGTGGGTTAACAACAACAAAAGGCAATGCTCCAGTGTATCCATGGTGCAAATTTGAATTACATCTTGACCATGGAGCTAAATTTTTTTGAAAGTTACTTGAAGTTTCAGTCAACACTGATCAGTAAAATAGCCCTTGAGCTAAGTTTAGCCCCTGTTTTATTTCAAAATTCTTTCTTCTATATACTCATTTTCTACCATACATTCACTTAATAAAATATTCTACATCCATACTTTTTAACAACATATTCTCCAAAAAAATCACTATTCAAAACTCCATTTTACCCAAATAATGGTTGTCAAACAGGGGATTGCTAACTTAGCAAAGCAAAGCAAAACTCAACTATGATAGTTGCACAAAATTTTCTAATCGAAGACCTATAAGTTTGTTGCTGTTGGACAAATATGTGTGGGTTAACAACAAAAGAGACAATGCTACAATGTACTGTGTATCAATTATTCAAATTCGAAATACAACCTGACCATGGAGCTAAACAATGAAAAAAAGTCACTAGAAGCTTGGGTCAACATTGACCATTAAAATAGCTCTTGAGAACAGTTTGCAAACTTAATAAATCGAGATTGAACATAACATTTGTCAGTTTATCAAAGCATAACTTATGCTACAGTTGGTAAGCTAAGAATAATATATCATCCAGAAAGCTACCATGTTACTCGAGCTCAACTTGCAAGGTTAATTCGAACCATCATATCACAGTCTTCCTATCAATTAACATGCTACAATATTTCTAACGAGTAAAGACTAAGGCCTTGTTTGATTCCCATTTTTATCAAAATGCATTTTTCTCTCGCTTTTTTTTAACCACACATTCTTCATTAAAATAATATTACACGTAAATCAAAAACTTTTCTTTATTTTTCATCCACACATTATCCATCAATCTACTATTCTAAAATTCATTTTTCCAACAAAATGGGTGTCAAACACCCTCTAAAAGTTTCCATCTGATCTTGATACCCCAGTTAATAGTCATTATTGAATTAAAAGATCTGTAACGATCTAGGCGAAATAATTAATAAATGGCCTAAAGAGGCAAACACTCATTGCAATCATATTAAACCGACACGTGAATTATTTAAGGTTTTAAGCAAAGTAGATACAATGTGGGATCCACAAAAATCTACTTAATAATGAACTTAACAATGCAGAGTACAAAAAGTTTACCTCATCCAGGGGATTCTCAAATTGAAGATTCACACTCTCAGCATGGGCACGCATCACAGGTACTCTTATACAGGTTGCAGTCACTTTGACATTCATGTCATTCTGCAGTATATATTAAAAAAAAAAAACAAAAACCAAAAAAAAAAAGTGTGTAACAAACATAAATTTATCATGACTGTACTTGAGAAAAACTCAACTTGAAGAATGGACATTAAAACGCAACAAAGATACTTACCCATATTTTTCTTGTCTCTTTTAGTAATTTCATTTCCTCTTCATTGTATCCATTTGAAAGAATGGGTGCATTATGTGAGAACAGGTTAAAGGCATACTGCAAGATTGAAGAAATTTATTAAAGGAAAAATACCAATCAGACATCAGTTGAATTACAAACAAAAAGAGTAATCAGTGAAACCTGCTGCTTGAAGATTTTACAGGTCGGTTCTTTTCCTGCAAGGACCTATTAAAAATAAATTTATTCAATAGATTCATAACAGTGAAATAAGATGAAAACATTGCTAAAGCAAGAAAATGACCTCACGGGTCTGCTGTTCAAGCTCTTCCATTGCAGCAGCACCTGCACCACTAGCTGCCTGGTATGTACTAACAACCATGCGTGTGACCTGAAAGATTCAAACAGTGTAAAACACTAGTAAAAATATAAATTCACCGATAGAGTTATCCACAAAAAAAGTTCCCTCCATGTTTTGGTCAATACTTTCCTGGAAACTAGGCATTCACAATGAAGACAGTTGATGCTTCTGAGAAATTTTTTAAATTTGTTCAGAAATGTTCTTGAAAGCAACAGAGAAAATTATCAGAATCCACTTAATAACATTCCATAGATCCAGTAACAGATTTCAACTGGACAGCAGAAGAGTTTTCTCAGGTAATCTCTTATTTAAGATTATACAGATCTGTTAAAGAGTGTTTGACGAAAAAAATAGCAATCTTATCATGCTCATCATAGCACTTAAATAAATCACATGTCATAGTAATAATTGGTTCAAATATTGTCCACTATTTTGTGACTACTTTTGAATGCCACTCATTTCAGCAAAAAAGCTGCTCGTTACTTTAATATTTGTGTCATATTTCCCAGACACGTTCCTGTTATGATTTTTTTCAGGTCTTGATGGCTAGGGAGGATTAGCACAACCAGTTTCTCCAGTTTGAATAAATCTCTGTACTAAAATGCAAGAGTTGGAATCCAAGCCACATATACCAGGAAACACGTGATAAATGCATTCAATGTGTTCAAGATTGCCAGAATGCAAGCAAGTACACTCCCAAGTTCACAAAATGATGCAAAAAATATGAAGGATACATGCATGAAGACGAGAAGACTGACACTAAATGAGCATGACAATATCTCAGATTTATGTGGGATAACCATGATGAGAATATGGAAAGGAATAGAAAGGTTAGTCAACCTCTGAATGCCCTCCATTATGAGAAAATAAAATATTAACTATCTACAAAAGAAGGCACCATTGATATTTTATAGGCCAAGTTCCGCAACCACAGGGAAAAAAAAGAGATCGACTGCAAAGAAATTATTATGGAAATTAATCTCCTATAGGTCTGATGATGGTAAGAGAGCAGAGGGTTTATCAAGAGCAACAGGAGCACAACGGACAGATGGTGATCGGAAAGGATAAGGTAGAAGACAAAAAGAGAAAAGAGAAAGATGAAATGTCAAAAGCACGTGTACCAAAGAGGCTTGAAAGCTATATTGTGTATGCAGGAAGTGGTCAAGTTTTTAGTTAAATTTTTGTGATGCCATCAACAATGATAAGTATCAGTTTACCTATTGGGTCATAGGGTTTTGGTTTTGCCATGGATGTGTCGAAGTACTAGCTGACATAAACTTTGTTGAATTACTTTGACTCTTAAAAAAAACAGTTATTCTACCGTCTAACCTCCAAATCCTCACAACTAGGGTTGATCTAAATTGAGCAGGACAGTTTAAGATTGCTTGCCTATTTGAGTTCTCAAAGTTGAAAAACTAGAAACTTGTTGCTAGATCTCACATTATTATCCTGGTTTTCATCGCAGATGCACACACGTGTGGTTCCAATTAGGCATGTCAGGCATAATGGATTTTTACATTCTACGGCTGTCAGACTAAAAGATATTCCCTGTCGCTTCGGGTAGACATATCTCTAACATGCTCACATTTTCCACCTCCTCACACAGCTCCATTAATAAGGATTTCCTTCCAATAAGGCAAACACAGAAAGGCAGTAAAAATCTCTCTTTCTCCCTCCCTGTATCATTTATGCTACGTTCAAACATCAAAAGATTGGTTCTTCTATTTATGACAAACAGTTTTGAAAACTTGGCACATTTCATTACAATCGTGTCTTCTCAAACTTAACAAAGAGAAATTACTCGACTGCATCTTGCCTATTGTCAACTAGTTCTAATCCTGCTTCCTATATTGTACAATTTGAATTCTTTAGAAGAGAAAGTAAGGACAGTTATTCTTCCTTGCTATTTCCTTCTCCATTTTCTCCATATATTCCCATGATCCTCAAAAGCAAGCTCAAATAGACATATATGGAACAACCAAACACGGGACTCCAAATTACATTTCTGCACTTATTTTCACTTTATTTATGCATATCACATGATCCAAAAAGATAATGATTAATAACTTCACAAATCCAGGTTGTTTCTCTATTGATAATGACATTTGTCCAGGTCTCACTGGCAGATTTTGACCCATATATACAAGAGCAAGTTTCTTAAAAAGGACCATAGCGATACCTTACAACTTTTTGCTGTGAGAAGCCTTCTCTTTTAGTCAATTTTTCATAATCCAAAATTCCTTTCTCCAATCCATCTTTTTAACAATCCAAATGAAAACGAACTCAGATACATATTTTTCATAGAGTAAACAACGATTTTAACATTGTCCGACATCCTTTCTTCAAATATTTTACGAGTAGGCCTCTTTTATTCTACCTCTAGCTTGAAGCCTAATTACAATGAGAGATTCTTCGACTTAGACAAGTTAAGGGATATGTTGTTCATTTGAGTCTGGGCTCTTCTAAGGCTATTTAGACATTAAGCTACAACAGCTAGTCTTCATCATAGCCTTCCGGGTAGCACATAAATCTTAAAAAGATCTCATAGCATAGCAAAAACTTCAAGCAACCTTTTGTTTAAGACCATCAATCTCCACGCTTCTAAAGGCACCTCTTAACAATGCACAAAAGGAAATTAATGCAACTCAAATTTGATCACACATAAACAATGTAATATAATCGAATTCGCAGACACACACACATACCGGATAAAGAAAAGAACCGTGTACATGCTACACATATAGAATTAGAAACAGTTTAGCTCATAAATATATTTACTTTTGCGTGGTGATGAAGTGGGGTGGCAGCCATAAGGCAAATGATGGTCGAGCAATTGGGATTTGCTATAAGTGCACCCTTTCCACTCTTCAGCTTAATATGCTTCATGGCTTCGGGATTCACTTCTGGGATCACGAGTGGGATCTTCTCATCCATACGAAACGCGGAGCTATTATCAACGACAACAGAACCCTTTTCCACGGCTATTGGGCCAAACTTCTTGCTTATACTCCCACCTGCACTAAACAAAGCAATGTCAACATTCTCGAAGCTATTCTCGGTCAATTCTTCAACGGTGTAATCGCGGTCTTCAAATCTGAGGGATTTTCCGGCCGAACGTTTGCTGGCGAGGAGCTTGAGGGAGCTGTAAGGGAAATCACGGTCTGACAACACGGATAGAAATTCTTGTCCGACGGCACCAGTCACCCCAACTATCGCAACGGATGGGCCGTCTTCGCGGAGTGACATTCGGACGGTGAAATGGCCATTGGAGAGATGGGAGGTGGATGGAGTGGGACGAGGGAGGGAGAGGTTAGTGGTATTCTTAAGGAAGGGAGTGTGGAGGTGGTGATGGAGAGAGAGGGTTGGTGGCTTCATTTTGCAGTGAATGGCCGGAGAGAGCGGCGGTGGCGGCGCGAAAATGCAGAGGGAGACTGTATTCAGTTTCGTTTCTAGGTAGGTTTTAAATGTAATGAAACCGTGGTTGGCAAAATTGAAAATTTGGAGAGTTTTGTCAGACCGACTTTGAACTTTTTGGCCTTATTAAAAAAGTGAACAGTGCCGGACGGAAGGGGTCGCCCGTTCGGCGCTGAAGTTGTTTCCAATTAAGCCCCTGCTCAAATAGAATTATCCCAAAAAATTAGGGTAATTATGCGTCCGTTTCGCGATCATTATTCCACATTATAAAGAAGGGAATAATAATTTTTTGGAGCACTTGTGACTCAAAGAGAGAGAAAAGTTTTTGAATTTAAGTATAATATTATTTTATTAAAAAATGTGTGATTTATAACAAGAAAGAGAAAAATAATTATGGGCGCCGTTTGGGAGGAATTTTGAGAATTGAATTTTTAATCGTTAGAAGAAAAGTGGGGTCCACTTATGAGAGAAGAAGTCAAATATTACGGCTGAAATAATGAAATAACGGTCAAAAAATTAATTTTTATCCCTTCCAAACAGGCTGATAATTTAATAGGAAATAATGGGAGCTAAACAATGGCTATATTATATCACCACAAATTTTACTAACTACACTACGTTATAATCATACCAATTTAAAGGGAAATAATAGGAGCCAAAAACAGTGGCTATATTATATCACCGCAAGATTTTACTAACTACGCCACATTATAATCATACCATAATTAAAATATATTTTCAATTTATATACCACAATAAATTTACCATTATACTCTTGATTCAATAAAAAATTAAATGGAAAGATTATGCCCTCGTTTGGCCCCCATTTTCGGAAAATGAAAATGGATGGAATAGTATTTTTTTTAAAAATGAGTGGTTGAAAAAGAAGAGAAAATTTTCGACTTACGTGTAATATTATTTCATGAATGATTGTGTTGAAAATAGAAAATAGAAAAATGAAATATAATGTAATGTAATGAAATTTAATGGGGGCCAAACGAGGTCTATATTTCCCCTAAAATATTTTTTCTTACACTACTTTCTATGTAAATCCTAATTAAAAAATATACTTTTCATAAACACGCCAAAAAAATTTTGTAATTATTAGTCTAACTCAATTTTAAAAAAGGAAAAAAAATAGCATTTCCCTTCTCTCGTGTCTACACCATGGATTGTTGATACCATTTTCTTGCATTATCAATCTAAATCTCTAATTACCTGTTTAATACCTTGCTTTGCACTCAAAATATCTAATTCCATCAACTTTAGCCCCTGTTTACATTTCATTACATTCTATTTTTCTCTCACAAGGCTAAAGAAAGAAAAGCATCCTTTTATAATAAAAAATTAGATTCTTAGACTAATTTAGATGATCACATAACAATAACTTATAAGCTAAAAGACGCAAGAAGTAATTACTCTTGAATTGGAGTTGATCTTTGGAAGGAAAATGCTTGTTGCCTTTGATAATCAGTAAAGGACACCCATTTTTCGACAGGCCCTGCAAATAAGCCTTTCTTGCATTTAATTCATCTTGAACTTCAGAATCAGGGATGTAGTTAAGTGGGACAAATGAAGCCCTCCATTTTATCCACTGCACAAACATCTTTGCAGCTTTCTCTGCATCCATTGATCTTGCAATCAAGAATCTCATCAAAGTTGGATCTTCATACTTCTGCAAGAAAGTGGCTTTTTGGTATCAAAGAACTAAAATTTTTCATATAAATCTTGTATTTTTGTAAGAATGTGAGTATGAAGAAGACGATTAAACATTACCTGAGCCGAACAACCAAGCTTTTCAACTGACTTCCTTATCTGGGTTAAAGCATGTTCATGATTTTGGTCCATTTTTTGTGGTTTTGGGTGAGATAAGGGTGAAATCTTCACATAACAAGATGCTGGTGGCCTGGCGTGAGGTTGTGTGGAGGGAGAGAGAGCCGAGTAATGCTATTCAAGGCAAGTTGTTGAGATGACTTTAACGCGACATTAATGATAAATGAAATTAACGGGTTAAGGGTTGTTTGAGCCCAGTCTTTTCAAAAAAATATATTTTAAAATAGTGTCATGATAAACAATGTGTAATTAAAAAATAAGAAAAAAATTTGAATTAATATATAATATTATATTATTGAAAAATATATAGTTGAAATGATATCAAATTACTGTTGAAAAATATATTTTGAAGCAAAAATGGGGCTCAAACAAGGACTTAATTACTTATTTATTTCAGCTTTCATTTAATCTATCATTTAGTGTCATTTAGATTGAAATTACAACCTCAATAGGACTATTTAACATTACTCATTTATAAGTTGTTCAAGGAATAAGGGTAAAGAGGAGAGTGGAATTTTTTTTAATTTTTTCTTGCCCTTGTTTGAGTTTCATTCTTTTCATAAAAATGAATTTTTGACATATTGATAAAAAAAGTGTGATTAAAAAATAAGAAAAATTCTGAATTTGTGTATAATATTATTTATTAAAAATGTGTGGTTAAAATAATATCAAAACGCCGTTTAAAAATTTATTTTTTCAAAGAATAAGACTCAAACAGGAGCCTAAACTCACTTTTGATCACATATTTTGATAAAGTAGTTTTATGCGTGACTTTATAAGCTTTTTCTCTGCTTTTAATCATATATTTTTCAAAAATATTATTTTTTATAAAAAAAAATATTTCAAAACAGAACTTAACATTTTAAAAATCTCTCAACAATTGATGAAAAATAATAAAGAACTAAAGATGAGTAACATGAAATAAAACAAGAAGAGAGAGCTCGAATGCACGGAAAAGAGGAGGTCACAAGCAGGAAGGAAGAAATTTCCCCTCCTGCCTAGAAAAATTAAGGCCATGTTCTCTTTACCGTTTTCGGGTCGTTTTCTGTTTTCGATTTTTCAAAACGGTGAAAACGTGTTCTCTTTCCCGTTTTCGAAAACGAATTTTCGAAAATGAAAAAAAATTTGTGAAGAAAACACAAAACGACTTTTTTGTCGTTTTGGGCGTTTTCAGTGTAAAACTTGAAAAAATTGAAAACGCGGGAAACACTTCTTTTTTTTTTTTTAGGAGGTGGTGTGGTGATTCTCAAAATTTCAAAAAAAATTAAAAATTAAAAATTTTTTTTTTTGAGGAGATAATGTGGTGATTCTCAAAATTTCAAAAAAAAAAAATTAATTAATTTTTTTTTTTTTTTTACCCAAAAAAAGGAGGGTGTGATTCCTTTTTTTTTTTTTCCATGCATTTACGCGCCTCAATATTTAACCCTCTCTAGGGATGACAAAAAATACGTTCAACCCGATACCCGTAAGGTCCCGGGATTAATACCCGCCTAACCGGGTACATGAGATGGGTATAGGACGAGAGTCACTACTCCGAAGCGATATGGGACGAGTACGGGAAATATAGTCCTCGTCCCGTTATCCGCACCGTTTAATATTAATTTCAAATTTAAGTTTTTATCAAACAAAAATAATATATTTATCATCATTTTTAAAGAGAACATAAGTTGTTCTTAACAAATTGGTAAAAAAGTAATACTATTCACTAACTAAGGACATAAAAAATAAAAGCAAAAAAGAAAAAGAAAAAATAAATGGGACAATAAATGGAGAAATAGATTTGCCCCGCCCCGCTTTAATCGAGTATTGGTATAGGGTAAGATAATACAAATACCCGACGGGATGGGATGGAAATTGCCGTCCCATTACCATCCCTAACCATCTCTAGCGTTGTCTCTGATCACAAGGTGCGAGGAAGTAGATATGCATGGGAAGTGATAAATAAGTTGTGGTTGAGGAAAAAAATTTACTAAATTTAAGATATTATCAATTTTTCTCATAAATTTGGTCATTTTTAAACACATTTCTCAAAATGGAAAGTAGCATAGAGAATTCACAAGAAGATAATAATTTATTCAATTATAATTCCTTGACTAATGAGACCTTAGACTTGAATCCGTAAGCCATAATGCACCGTGGTCATCCACTTCTTTTATTTTAATTAAGCCATGTTTGATCCCGATTAAATTAAATTACATTACATTTCATTTTTCTCTCTTTTATTTTTAACCACACAATCTTCCATAAAATAATATTACATGTAAATCGAAAACTTTTCCTTCTTTTTCAACCACTCATTTTTCTAAAAAATATTATTTCCCCCATTTTTATTTTCTGGTAATGGGAATCAAACAAAACTACCGCAACACAAAGTAATTGACTATTGATACTCTCTTTTTTCCAAAAATAAATAAATAAATAATCAAAAACTTTCATCGTCACTTTATCGGTTTTTTGTGCATTTATTTACATCCATTTTTATGGACTAATAGGGAAATAAACGTAATCTTAAGAAAAAAATGATCTGCAAAAATTGATATATTCAGAAATAAGTTTAAGATTCTTGGAGGTATAAAATTATTTACAAATTTTTATATTGCTCAAACTGATAAATTACAGTATAAATGAAAAGTCACAAAGCGTAAGAATTAATATAAATAATGAGATATAATTTATATTTCAACCCAGAATATTTTTTGCTTATTGTTAGCAATAAATTTTACTTCAAATATCAGGACTGACTTATTTTTCAAAATATCATCTTAAGGTAGATGAACTCATTAAAATTTAAGAATACATTAGTATATCTGTTTTTTATTCAAGTTTGTAAATCCCTATCTTGAAAATCGACTGAAAATCTGTTAATACAAAATAATTAAGTCTCCGCTTTCGAAGAATTCATAAACGGATGAATTTATAAATAAATAGATATTTATAAATTATTTATATATTAGCCAAATATAATCTAATAATGTTGAAGGATTTAGTGTTCAAAGGGACTAGATGGACTCTAATAATTATTATTATGAATTGCATTGTTATTGCACGAAGAAATTTAACACAATAAAACAAAGGGTACCAACTCTATAAGCAGAAAGCAATATATCATGTTTGCCTAATAGATTAAATTAAATTTAAAAATAATCATTTATTTCAAGTTTGTTTAAAAATATTTTTTTAAGATATAAGTAACAATTTTTACCTGCTTATGACACTATGGTAGTGAATTTGTTTTAGTCAAACTTGCACAAACTCTGTTATCGTGCAATGGACCATTTTTTCTTAGGATCAAAATGTGGACTTTTTCACTTCTTCAATTTATTCCCAATTTTTCTTTGTTTGATTTATAATGAAAATGACCCTCAACGAAATTTAGACTGCCAAAATTTTCTCTTAGACTTTTAAAATTTAAATCTTTGAATTTTCTAATTAAGAGTAGTCACTTCATTTTGAGTCGGATATTATTGATGATATTTTAGTAATTTGAATCAACTAGCCTTAAGCTACCATGGCGTTTCATAGATAAGGATTAGGCCTGCTCTTTTTCGATAGGGTAATGCTGTAGGTACGAGAAAATCTTTATAGAAATTTTGCAAGATTCCACATGATACAAATTTATTGGCAAATAACCAAAAACAAAAAATTGCCTGAAAATCAAGTGCCGTTATGGCTGAACCTGTTGAAATTTTGTGAGAAAATCCCTATACTTGGGGAGTTTCCCTTTTCGATATTGTAGGTTAGTATCTTATCCATATGTCTATAATGAAGTGTGGCATCTCTTTACAATTATAATACGTTTTGTTCCAAATCAATCTTAACGATAGTAAAAATATGCAGCAATATGTTATTAAGTTTGTACACGAGTCTAGTAAAAACTCATCCGTCCAACCCCCTTTTCTTGACCACGTTGCCGAAAACGATCTTGAGTCGTATGCACAATCTATTCTTGCCGTGATTGTAACATCCTAAAGTTTTTATACAAAATACTTTTATATATTAGATTTATCCCTCTTTTATGGTCATTATTTTGGGAATAAAATGATGTTTTAAATAATAATTTTTTAAAGAATACTTGAATAAAAGTAGGGAAATATTTTGAGTTTAAGTGCAAAATATTTTATCATGTGATATATGATTGAAAATGAATATGAGAATTAAAGAGACATATTTTAAAATGAGACAAACAGGACTTATATTGAATCAAAAATTAAAGGAAAAGTCAATCAATACAACGAAAGACTAATGGATTAAATTAATTTATGTACAAGGTCATTTGAGGCGGCTCATGTATTCAAATAGACATAATTTTCAAGGGCTACCTTTAGGGACGACCTATGCCCTCGCGAGGTGATTCAATTACAATACTAAGCCCCTGTTTGGGAGCACTTTTTATCCAATTTGCAAATTTTTTACCGTTATACATTGTATGTCATTTTCATACCAATCACAATTATTAACTAGATCGAACATAATAACCTATGCGTCCCTCTAGCACTTAATTCATTTTTCTTGAGAGAAGGACATTTCTAATAATTTATTTATAAGGTAGTTAATAATTACGGTCGTTAGGACCCATGTAAGCTTGTCAACTATAAAAATTTTGCTAAAAATGGGATAAACACCGCTCCCAAACATAGGCTAGGAAGTGTTATAAATTAATTATTATATATAAATGACAATTGTATCCATGCCATACTTCTACTATATATAAGAAAATTATTGGTCAAATAACGATGTTTATTGCAAAGGACTCGCGATAAAGTATAACTGCAGACTCAAACTCTTGTAGCAAAACACTAGCACAGGAAAGACTATCGACTTGCCATAAGAATTGAAGCTATATAGGGAATAAGTAATGATAAAGAACCAGAGGTCCAATCCCAAGCCTAATACTAGCAAAACTCAATCATTTTATACTAAATAAACCAAGAGAAGAGCCATAATGCTTGTTCGATGAAAGTAGGCAATACAAACATAGCATCACAAGAATATATACACATATTACACCAGTCGTATAAAAATCACAGTAAAACAACAGAAAAATTACCTAGACCACAAACTGAAACCTTCGTTAACTCATGGATCTGAATCCTGTCTACTTGCTAACCGCAACTCATGCAATTCGTTGAGAATCCATTCTTCCCCAGTATGCCCACC